AACCAGCAAAAAAAACTGGCGCCAAAGAACATCCAAACACATTTGTATGCTTAAAAGTATGCCATTTTACCGAGTCACATGTACAGATGAGATCTCTTCATGTTCGGCATCATGATGCAAAGTTTGCAGCCAACTATAATACGCCATTACGAAATCGGCGCTCAGTGCAAATGCCCTGTCCGCCATTCAATGCTTTCGTCCGATTTTTTTTGTCGTCAATTTTGTTGGTGTTGTTGCAAAACATTTTTCTTTGTTACTGTTGGCCTTTTTCCCATTCATTCAATTTCATTGCTGTCGCTGTCCAAAAAATGTCGATTTTTTCTGCACAGAACATTTGCTTGTTGTTCCAATGTATGTGGAGTACTTGCCATGCGGAAATAATGTCCAAACCGAAAAATACACACTGTGTGCAGAGAGAAATGCATACAAAAAAACATGGTTTTTGCGGCAATGTGGGTGCACAGCAGCGACATAAACCTCTAATGGATAATATGACTGAGCCATAATGGGGAAAGTGGTTGTTCTTGTCCATGTATGCACAGTCAACATTTGAATTGGATGTCGAATACTCAACGAATTTCCTCCTCCACAAAAAACTCAACAACCGATTTCGTAATTGCTTTTAATGACGCATAATACTTGAAAAATGAATTCGTAAAACAAAGAAAGTGTGAGAGTGTGAGTCAAAAACAAACATATGATTGAAAATCAAATCAATTTCATACCAAAGTGTTAGAAACAACAAACAGCCACAGAAAATGAAAACTCATTGAGAAAGCGAACGTTAAAATAAGAATAAAATCATGGCACACGAAATTCAATCTAAACATAGTTTTCGTGTCAAATGTGATTTGCGTCGCGCTTGATTCAATATAAGTTATTTGTCATCAATAAATTAGTTATGAGAATAGCTTTCCGTTAATTACGAAGGAGGAAAAATGCGAAGCGAATGACTTCGAAATAATTTGATCAGCAAATGCCTCGAGAGAATTTCGAGGCGTTAAGTGAATTGTAGCTCAATGGCATTTGAAGACTTCTTCAAAAAGCCACCCTTTTTCCCACAACTGAAATGTCAAAAACCCACCTACTTCAAATAAACGTCATTAGGATCGCATTCAAACATTGAATTGAATCCATTCTCGGGTGTCTATCTCGATGTGCTTCGCTTCTTTTTCCTCAGTTCCATCGATTGCATTCCTTTCACATTGAACTCAGTCACTCTCTCTCTCTCCTTCTTGCTTGCTCACTCGCTCCAAAGTTGCATTTTCCATCACTCGTGCTTCACACTCTCCCAATTTTCATTTTTCGTTCTCTCTCTCTCTCTCTCTCTCTCTCTCTCTCACTCTCTCTCTCTCTCTCTCTCTCTATTTCTTCCATTTCGCTCCGTTGATTGTGCCGACGCAACCACCACCACCACCACCAACAACAAAACTCAATGGTAGGAATTTAATGCGAGTTACTAGTTTTTAGCAAACTATCAAAAATGATTACTGCGTTAATGGTGAAATTGCAGTTCGGAGAGAATTCTAAATATTAACAATGGGGATAGAAAATATCTCAACAGTGCCAGTCATAAGTAAATATGAAAACAATTTCGTTCGGCGTATGTTCATTATAAACGGTATGGCTGTGCCGAACGTATTTTGCGGACGAGAATGAGTGAGTGAGGGAGTTCGAGTGTGTGAGTGTTTTTATTTGCTTTATACACTTGAGATTTGCCATATGAGTTTGACTATGACTCGATTAAAAGTCATTGTGTGTGCTTTTTGTTCATATCCATATCGTCTTCACTTCGTGTTTGCCAAAGAGAAAGACAAAGAGAGAGAGAGAGAGAGTAAGAGAGAGACTCCAAACCACTCGAAGAGTGCAGTGCATCAACCCTAATGCAAAATGTGTTATAAAACGATTACTTTCTATCTATTTTAAATCAATTTTTGTATCGTCACTCCTCGGTTTCAAATTCATTATGATGAGGAAAAATCTGCAAAATCATCACACCGACGGAGAAAGAGGAATTATTTTTGAATGAAATATATTCGTTATTGAATACAAAAACAAAAATAATCCATTTCAATGCATTTTCTCATTAAATGGATAGTTCATATAAATCATTCTTATGAAAACTTGTTGAATTGATTCACAAGAATTCAAAATTAGAACAAATTCTCTGCTCTATGGATTCCCATGAAATGTATTTTGCTACAATTTCAATCGAATACTAAGCAAAAAGCCTATTTTTCAAATTCGTAATGCTTTTTCATTGAATTCATCAAATAAATGTGTGAAACGTAAATGTAAAAACCCGTTTTTTGTTCAAAAAATCGCATTTATTTGTGGGGAGAAACCGGTTTCATCAGAAAACAATTGTTTTTGCGTCTTAAGATTGATAATCTTATACATTTTGTTTCCCTAAATCATCAATTTTCCTTACAAAAGACTCTCAAGTCGACCAACTGTCGAAAAAATCCCAATAGTAGAGGCTGTTGAAATGCGAGTTTAGTTTGCACCCGGGATCTATCGAACGAATTCATGGCGTTGGAGAAATATACTGCAGCAATGTGTTATAACATCTATATTTCTGTCGTGTCATTGAGCCGTTGTGGCTCGGATGTGTAGCGTATTCGGCATAGCGAAACAAGAGAGTCAGAAGGGTCGGTCGATGGTAGAATCAGTAGCAGCAGCAGCAGCAGCAGCAACAACGAGTGCTAGAATGCTGTGCCTAAGTGGTCACTGCTGTATAGTTCAAATTGGGCTGTGCATTTTTAATTAAATGACTTTATAGAAAATGCTTCTAGTGGGAATGTGTGTATACGATGTGATGTGTGTTCTTGTTACCGAAGTTCGTAGACACTCTATGCCGAATATGTAGACATGTTTTCGATTTTCGGTCGGTTGTGTTGTGCATAGCAAGAGACAGAAAATGACTGAGTAAGAGTGAGAGAGGTGAAAACCGACGAATGGACAGACAAACGGCCAAATGGATAGATGTGTAAATGTCTTGCATCCAGGATATTTCATACCGAGAATCAGAGAATTTGAGTCAGAAAGAGAGAGAGAGAGAGAGAGAGAACGTCTGAGTTTTGGATATGCATGACGATGTTATAGGTAAAGTACACTGCGTTTTTCTGATATTTGGTTTCGCTCAGGACGGTTATTTGTTGTTATTGCAGTTTGGTGTTTGTGCTGCTGTCGCTGCCGCTGCTGTTGTTCCTCCTGCCCAGTTATTATTATTACTATTGTTATTGTTGCAGCAACAAATGCGTATGTGCATGCATTTATGTTTGCCATTCTCTCTCTGTGCCTCTCTCACTCCCTGCCTCTGCAACGTTCCTTCCACCCAAAGACATTTTGATTTATTATTTACATAACCTTTAGCGGGGCAAAAGAAACAAATAAATGGTGCACGTATAATAACCAAATGTACGTCGTAATGTACGTGAATTCGTAATCTATTCCAATTCATTTTCGTGTGAATTCTCATCTCGAGACGGACGAGAGACGAGCATGATGGCATCGTCTTCGTCGTCGACGGTGGCGGCAAAAGGTGGCAGCAGCTTCGGCTATGGCGGCGGTGAGAGACGAGCGCAAAATGGAAAGTCAAGTGAAAATATTGCAGGGCATCGGCCAATCGAGAACAAATTGGTCAACCAAACAAGCATGTAAAATTTATAACAATAAATGTTTATTCATCGGATACTTTGAAATCGTACACACACACTCGCACACACACATGCGAACCGAGATGATTCGAGCGTTCATACGAAATGAACATAAATTTTCCAAAACATTCCCAAAGGCACTGAACCAACTGAGGTACACCGAACCACGTACATCTATATACAACCGGAGTGAAGTGAACGAAGAAAAGTAAAATGAAACCAACACAACTCACACACACACACACAAAAGGAAAAAAAAAACGGAATATTTGCAAAGCGAAACATCGGAAAGTATCATAAAAACCTATGCATCTCTCGCTCACACTTGACCGCCTTTACTCTTATTTTATTCATAAATTTGTTTTGCGCCAACACCAGCTAAAGCGCAATGGAATCGAATTGAAACGAAATATTTTATGCGCTTTCTCTCTCTCTCCGATGTGCGGTGTGCGAAATGTGCTCTTTCCCTGGTTGCTGATGCCTGTCCGACCACCCGCCCGCTCGCCCTCATCGCTGCTGCTGCTGCTATTGTGCACATCGCCTCGAAACCAAATAAAATTTCACGTAGATGCTGTAATGGCTCAAGTTGTTAAAGTTACCGGACTCTCTCTCTGGCTCTGTTTCTGCGCGTTGTATGCAAATACACATTACATTTTCAACCATTTCGCTTTTATTTCTGTGACCTAAACCATGCCATGGATTAAATATACATGCGCTCTTCTCTCTCTCTCTCTCTCTCGCTCTCTCATTTTTTCACTCTGTCTCTCTCTCTCGCTCCGTGTGCATTTCTCTTCATTTCGAGCGCCCGCACTTTGCATCCAAACAATGTGCTAAAACATAATTTTCATTAAGTACCTGTTAAAGTGAACGAGCTGAAAAGAGCGGTTGAGCTGAGCAACAGTGAGAAAAAGCGACTGAAAATAGTTTCAACGTTATTGATAATTTGCAGGAGTTATGTGTGTGCTAAGTAGAGAGAGAGAGAGAGAGAGTGAGAGAGAGAGAGGAATGTGTCGTCGAGATGAAAAGCCATAATTCAGTTCTAATCATTTTCAATCTTTTGCTGTCAACAAATTTACACGTTCACGTGCAAATTGTTATTATGTCCAAGTTCTTATCAAAATTGTACACAAACTAGGCATTCTCGTTCGTAACGAAAACGTTACATGCTCCTGTCCGCAGTGGGAACGTCATCGTTTAGTAGCCGTCAGTCTTTGTATGCATACGCACATGTATGATTTTGTTGAAGTGGGCCACAAGATAGATATAAAATGAATTAAACATGTCACATCTTAAGAGTAATAGTTCACAATTTTTAATCTTCTTTCGTTCGTTTCTTTGCAGGGCCGTTGCAATCGGGAAAAGCCACCATGTAAATATTTCCATCCCCCACAACACTTAAAAGATCAACTATTAATAAACGGAAGAAATCATCTTGCCTTGAAAAACGCACTTATGCAACAAATGGGCATCGGTCCCGGCCAACCGGTCGGTATACCGGGTCAAGTTCCTGCAGTGGTAAGTCACACAATACCTATTCTATTTTGCACGGCTACAAATATTCACGCTTTTCATTTGACTTTTTTTCTCTCTCTTTTCCTGTCGCTGCTTCGCCACCGGTAAAAATATTCGTACAAAAAAAAACGCGTATCCAGGCCACGAACCCGTATTTAACTGGAATGCCAGCTAATACTTATAGTCCATATTTTGCTCCTGGTCATTTAGTGCCTACATTATTAGGGCCTGACCCTTCAACTGTTGGCTCTCCGCTAGGACACACTGTCGTTCCACAAGCCGTTCCAGTTGCACAACAGAAAATTCCCCGCTCAGATAGACTAGAGGTAAATTAAATCCATTTCATTCTGCCATGCTTTCATTGCGCTGTCGTTTTTTTTTTTAGATAAATCGATTTTATCTGATATCTCTATTTGTCGGTTTTATGCAAAAACAGTTTTGTTTATCGTTTTCCATTTTAGTTTTTCATATATATATCAAGAGTCATTTTTATTATTTTTCAATTCGTTAAATTTAGCTCGATTTTGATATAGTAAATATACATATTTTTAACGATATTCATAAATATTTATTCACTACTTTTTATGTTGATTGAAGAGAAAATATTTTAGTCACCGAAAATTTTTATTCGTATTTTAATCTCTAAGTTAGTTGCTACGGTATATATTTTTTTTTTGGTTTTTTATTCGTATCATTTTTTTTGTAATTAAAAAGCGTATGTTGACTGTTGCTTGTCTAAACACTAATTGCAGTAACGTCTAATCTACCAGCTGAAAAACGGAAGCATAGCGAATTCAATTTGATTTATTTTATATGTATATCTCTCTCTCACATTACAATACACAACATAGAATTTTTTTTTATTATTCTCTACTCTCTTATATAATATCATTATATACATATAGAAATAGTAGTGTTGTTGATGTAGTGAGTTGAGTTTTGACTATACCGTTATATCATGAATTCTCGAATTTCTAGTTTTAACAACCATTTTTTTATATGCTTTCATCAGTTTTATAACGATATTTTAGTTATCTCTCTCTGTGTATTTTGTATGCTTTTCACTGATATATTGCACTGTTTGTCAGTGATGATGATGATTTTTGGCTTTAACAGTTAAATCTTTTTTGTTCATTTTTATTGTTGTTGGCGTTGTTGTTCTGTTTCACTCTCTGGCAAATTATATCTCAATTTTAGCGTAATTTAATCAATTTAGACAGTCGACTACGGACCATTCAATTTTTGCAGGGAAGTTTCGTTGAAATTCGTTACCTTTTGTTTTTCCAATGAGTTTTCTATTTACGTTACGTCTGAGCTTTAACGTCGGCGTCGTGCATTTCATTTCAAAATGTGGAAAAATGGATTAGTTTTGTTGATGCACCAGCAAAATAGGCGCCAGACAAATTGGATGCTTTTACTAAAGGATGATTTAGAATGTATGTATATATTCTAAAATGCAGAGCTGGCATAGGCACATTCATTTTAGAAGCACTGCCGATGGCATACACTGCCATTCCAACCAATGCAATGCAATTTTCTCAAACGCAGACATTGGATGAAATGAAGCCATTTATGCCAAATGGGGCTTAAAACGGCGATAATCAACAGCATTTTCGACTTTTTGATTTTTGTTCGAGAGAATGCAATATGTTTTTTTTTTTTTGGCCGAAGCATGTCCAATTTTGTAGATATCACTCTTTTGATCGCAAATTTTCAACCGAACGCGCGAAATGTGTCGCAGAACTGAAGGAAATGAATGAAAAGACGGAAAAACTAAATGATTAGAAGGAAAAATTGTATTAATAGATGGAATGAATTGCATAGAAATAGAACGTGTAGAAGCATCGCGATCAAAGTTCAAAGGGATTTTCCAACGGTTGATAGTAAATCATTTTCCAGAAGTATTTCGTTGCTTTTGGATTTGACTAGCATCCGGCGATTTCATTTTTTCACAGTATTTGACTAAATTTTCCGTAATTTCAAATTTTGATTAAGTTATTTTGTTGAAGAACATTGCATTTTTGAGATTGAAAAGAAAAGTATTCCTTACAAACCACTTCCTCTTCCGAACGGTGCCGGTATTCTACGACTTTCCGACAAAATTGTTCGGAATTATTTTTTTCGTACATAAGACCATATTGGAGTGAAAGAGAGAGATTCCACTATTTTTCAGCATTCCACCGGAATTATTTCTCACACATTTCACTCTTCCTTGAATTATCGGAATAATTCCGGTGGAATGCTGAAAAATAGTGGAATCTCTCTCTTTCACTCCAATATGGTCTTATGTACGAAAAAAATAATTCCGAACGATTTTGTCGGAAAGTCGTAAAATACCGGCACGGATTAGAACTCTTCTTTCACTTAAGAACAGATTGACGAGTTGCCGAAGAAAATTCGAGAAATTTTCCCTCAAATTGAAAGCGAAAAAAGAAGAAAGAAACAAAATGGTTGCATTCCAATTGAATACACTATCGTTGCCGGATATTTTGTGTTCGTTTCAATCGAAAACGAGTAAAAACAACATTACACTTCTGCATGAAAGCTGATGAATGTTCGCATAATACCTTAATTTTGTTGTTTTTTTTTTGTTTTGTTTTCTGTTTGGCCGATTGTATGAATATGTTTAAAGTTCTCGAAGCTCGTTTCTTGTTCCAAAATAAATGTATTGAGCTGGCTGAAGACAAAATAAAAAAGTAACAAAAATACAGTCGTGATATCGGGAAAAATTGGTATTTTGTTTTTCTTTCTATTTTGGATCGGAAAAGAAAAAGCGTCAAAGAAAAATCGAACAAAAATAAAATCGTTTGTTTTGAGATGTGGCAAGAGAAAAACGGTCCGGTCTACTCAATACACCGATACAAATACAAAATTTGTATTACAAACTCACACAGACACCCAAAACACACACAAACTGCACTGACACATAAACGAATTCATAGACTGGCAATGGCATCGGATATCTGCTTTTTTGTTGATAGGCTGATATTGGTAAGGAATTTATGCTTGAGCTGTATTGTTACCACAAAAACTATCTTTTGACATTCTCTTTACGCGCTTTTTTGCATTTTTCTGTTTGGGATGAATTCCATGAATGGAAGAGAGAGAGAGCATAATTAGTCGTCGACGACCGATAAATCTTTTTGGTGGTCTTGTGCTTGAGCAGATTGAAAATTGGCTCTCGAATTGGATCATTCTCGATACATATTTTTGGTTTTTGCATTCTGTGTTCGAAAAATGAAGCGAACTTTATTTATACCTGTCCTTAAATTGACGTAAAATAAACGAAAAATAATGATAAAAAAAAACATATGAACTAAGAAGTGTTGACTAGCCGCTTGATCGGCTCGCCATGGGCCGCACAACAAAACCAAACAAAAAAAAAACAAAAACATTACAATTCCAAATAATCCTAGTCAAATGGTATGCATAATCTATTGAGTTGAGCATATTTTTGTTGCGTTACTTTACTGCATAATTCTTTTGCGTTTCACTGTTGCGCTGTTTAAACCAACTTAATCTGCTTTTATAATTTTTCCGTTTGTTTTATTTTTACATTCTCTCTCTATCTCTCTAATTATATCCTGAAGAATGTGTTGCATTGATCGCTGCGAGTTATATATATGGCCGAAAAAAAACATATATTTAATTTTCGTTTGTTTCATTTTCGTTCGTTTTCTTTCCTGTTTCTGACAAATCGTTTTCTTTATTCTCATATTAAAAAAAAAAAACTACCAAAAACCTTTATTTTTGTTTGTGCAAAAAACATAAACAACCCAAATAACCAATACACACACACACACACACATAAGAATTTAAAACCGAAATGAAAAAATAAAGCGCTTGATTTACTCCTCTTAAGAGCAAACAAATCATTATCATATTAATCAGATTGAGAACCCGAATTTAATTTGAGAAAGCAACAAAAATTGCAAAAAAAAAATAGTCGTACATTAATTGACATCAAAAATGAATGTGAATGCCAAAATCTACCACATCTAATTGCGGAGTTTTTTTTGTTGTTGTTGACGATAATGAATAAAAAAAAATCGTTTGAAATACACACAGCAAAACAAAAAGAAAATTACCGTTTTTTTTACATCAAATCGGATATACCGAAATTAATCCATCCAAACCAAAACCAAAAAAAAAAACAAAAAAACAATCAACAAATTGATTTGTGTGCTTTGACGAACAAAGAACAAAAAAAAACTGTTAAATAAACTGTGTAAACTATAAACCATTTAGGTGTGTCGCGAATTCATGCGCGGCGCCTGCAAGCGAGCTGAATCCGAATGCCGATTTGCTCATCCACAAGAGAGTGTATCATCACATGAAGATGGTTCAGTCACGGTATGCATGGATGCCGTGAAAGGTAGATGTGCCCGTGAACCTTGCCGCTACTTCCATCCTCCTTTGCACCTTCAGGCTCAAATAAAAGCAGCACAGACACGCGCAACCGCGGTATGGCTATACTACTTATAATCCACTTGCAAATTACAGAAAAAACAAAACAAAAGAAATCTACAAAAATGACAGAATCAGAAAAATATGACAATTCAGAAAAAGACCATTTTTGTGTTTTCCGCATTCGTTTTTGTTTTATTCCGTTTTCGTTTGTGTTTCTTTTTCGTTCTTATTTTTTTTCTCTTTTTTTTTTGGTTAACTCACTGCCGTTCTGATTTTTCGATGGAAATTTGTGATTTGTCGTTGTATTTGGTTTATCGAATGTGCAATTGGTTATAACATGCGTTTTTTTTTTGTTTTTTTTTCTTTCGCTCAAACAATCGCCACAAAAGAACAAGGCGTAAATTCTTGCAGATTTTTATACCATTGTGCTTTCAAGCAGTAGTGGAGAAGGTACGGACTCAAATACACTGTACTTTAATTGATACTATTGATTGGTAAATAATCATGACGGCTTCATATTATTGAAAAAAGCACAAATGGTATAAAGCCTTCACACGTTCTTTGTCTAATCCATTCTAATGCCAAGAATTCCCGATGCCATTGACATTTCTTGATTTTATGCGTTTGTTTCTTCCGTTTTGTTCCGTTTTTTTTTTTCAACTAATTTTCATTACGAGCGCTTTTTCCTTTCTTTTTTCCCTTTATTTTCTTCGTTGTTTTCGTTAATTTCGTTCTTTTCTTCGTTCCAGCCGTTTTTCCGTTCATTTCTTTTATCCATTGGACCATCACTGAATATTATTAATTTGTCCATTTTGTTTTTGTTTCGTAACGAAAAAACAAAAGATCCAAACATTCAAACACTAAAACACAGAATCAGAAATAAATTCCAATCAGAACCTTTAATGATAATGAATGTGTATAATTGCTGTACAAATAATTTATACACGCCCCTCCTTCAAAAAAAAAAAAAAAAATACAACACCAGTATCTGTTTCATTATTCATTATAGTATACGCTTTTCACTAAAACCAGCGAAAAACAAACAAACCATATATATATAGATAGATAGATATTTATACTCGATTGCGGGTGCATTCGGTGCAATTCGCCTGACTGCGAAAATTTATTGGTTACATTTCGAAGCGAAAACGAAAAGAAGAGAGTCATGACTCTTCGTCTGTCTCCCGCTCTATATCGACCATGGCTACAAATTGTGTCGGATTCTTGAAGAAAGAGAGCGGTCACGGCAAAAAAAATAAGACAAGACAAAACCGATACTGCCATTACAATCGAACGAATGAAATACACGGCAAATGCACTGAATGCACCATATCACATACTAAGTGATTTTCATTTTACTCACTTATCTGCTATATATATTTATATTTATGTTATTGGGTTCTTTTTTTCCGTTCCGATTCAGAAGAATTATACTATAAATTTTTGTCTGGAATGTGTTTTATCTTTGGTTGGCTTTACCTTCAGTGTCTAACGTTTTTATTTTTGTATCCTTTCACTCATACAAAACAAAAAATATAAACATGATTTGGTCGTGATACCCTAGAAAAAAAAACATTTCTTTGCCTCAATAACCGCATCGAAACCGATAATATGACTAAATTAGTTTAAGCATCTTTTGTCATTGTTTTGCGCTGCTTTACCGAACATTTCCTTTTTCGTTCGTTGGTTCTTCTTTTATTATTCCGTTGCTCTTATTTAGACCATCAAACATATCTTCTTACGCTATGTGGTGCGAGTGTGTGTTTATGCGCGCGCGTGAGCCACCGAGCAGTCGAAGTCATTGCTCGCTTGCTTGATCACGCGAACGCTAGCACACGCATCGATTTGAGGGTGTTTCAAATCGAATTATCAACATAGACATCTGAGCCATGTCATTGTACACAGAGATCCAATTGGAACATATATACAACGAACAAGTCATTTGAAACACCATCTTTTAACACAGACAGAAGCCAAACTTGGCGATTCCGTACGACTGAAGCAGTTGGTTCTTAGTTTACCTTTTTCTCTCCCATTTTCTCTTACTCTGTTTTTTTTCGGTTCCTTTTCTTCTCTGTATACTCGCTTTTTTAACTTTAACTTTGTTCGCACGTTTACAAATGCCACGAATTGACTTTGAAGAAAGAGTAAAAAAAAACACTAAAAACCTAGTGGACTTAAATAGAAATAAAACATCCACTCGAGTTGTCGGATATGCATTCAGATAAATGAAGAAGAAGATACAAACCACATACACTCTTTCGCCAATTTAATGCACACAGACAGACATACGTGTGGAAATGAGAGACAAAAAGATTGGGGGAGCAAGCAAGCGCGCGCGACAACGTTCAACAATTGGTTTTGTCAATCGCACTTCGACACAACCGTGATGATGATGGAAAAAGTGTGCAAATCCCCATTTTTCACATACGATTATGTGCACATTCACAATTTTCACAAACGATCCGCATACAGCGTGCCTAGACAGGTGACGAGCAATATTCAGGTAAAAACAGACAATACTTATGGCAGAAGACAAACAAACGAGCATTTGGAGCGGCGTCTGTTTGGGCGTTCGTTTTTCAGAAAAAAAAGAAACACTTTCCTCATCACGCTTTAATCGCAATGATGGCACTCGCACACCAGTTGAGAGCGAAAAAAAACAACTTGAAATAGTTCATGATAATGAACACATAATCCGGTCAAACTGATTATATGACTTTAGTGCTGAAATATTCGCGCGTTCAGGATTACCCCATTGAAAGTCTCCAATTTCACATAGTTCAAGCGGAAAGTGGCCTGATGCTCTTCGGTTGGGTGCGCAACGTAAATTTTCGTGAAGAACATCGTCATTCAGTCTAAAATTTACCATGCAAATTGTGCCAGCGTGAAGAACTGCATTCTTTAATCATCTCAAGTACCATCGACATTTAATCAGGCCACTTTGGTGCGTAGCGTATTTTTAGCTACAAAATGCTACAGGTGTTTCCAGCAAATGGGCAAAAATTTGCCAAGAATTTGCACGCTCTTTTTGCGATGGCGCACAGGTCAATATTCAGACAATATAGCCAGGCTATGAAAGCCAATATTCAATGCAAAACAAATACATTACTTGCAATTACAATGTAAAATGCAAAAAAAAAATCTCAAATTGCTGAAATCCGAACTGGAAATTACCGGCTGTAATTTACAGCAAACCACCAAAATGAAGTCGAAGTCGGCGTGCGCGCCCGGGTGGCATGGCTTGAATATGTGCGAATTGGCATTTAATTTAAATCGATCGAAAATACGATAACCAATTGAATCGACCACAACAATGTTTAATAGCTGTAGATAATTAATGAGCTCTCTCTCTCTCTCTCTCTCTCTCTCTCTCTCTATCTATCTATTTTCGATTATATATGTAAACTCTGAATATATTCCAAAATGGTTACAATATAAATAGCGGTTTTTTCCTCCCCAGTGTTTTGTTTGTGTTTTTCAATTCGTGATCCCCGTTCCAAACCATAGGTTTTTGTGTTGTTGTTGATGTTGTTTTTTTTCATTTGGTTTCTTTTAAATGCGTGCTATATTTCATCCGTATGAACATGAAAAATCTGCTAATTTAATTGTAAACACTCAAAAAATAAATCCAATTGTTATTTAGTCTATATATCATAGAACGTAAGTGCAATGCATTTCTCTTTTCAATTTGCTCTCTCCCTCCCCATGTCTCTCTACTTGTACAAAAAAAATTGACTTTCATTGCCGTATTCGTTGATCTATTTTGTTGATTTGTTTTCTTTCCCTAAACGTAAATTACTAACTATGTATTCGATCAAAAGCCAAAAAAAACCACACTTAGTCCTGAGTAACGAAACAAAAAAACGATTTATTTCTGAAAAAGACAACACACACAAATACATAAACACACTCAACACTTACTCAAAACAACCATCACACACACACACACACACACACACACACACAAATCAATGATTTGTTTTTCGTTTACACTTTTCCAAATTTGTTTTTCTCTCGTTTAATTCAAATTTTTTTTACACGAAATAAAAAAAAATCCGAAAAAATTATTTTTCCGAAGAAAACCACACGTTGCCATGTTCAATTGTCACATCTTCAATTGCCGCGTGTTTGTGCGTGTAAATCTATGTGTTGGACGTGAATCTTCGTGAGCAGATTGACACATCATCGACAACGATGATCATGAGCAGTGCTTTGTTATTTTGTTCTCTGGCGCCGACCGATATCTTCAATGAATGACACTCCAACTGAAATTGTGCTCAAGCAAAATGATTGTTCTTTCTCTCTCTATTTTTTTTTTTGATCTCAATAAATATGCGATCTCATTAACTGTTTTATTTTTGATTTCTCTCTGAAATAAATGCGTTCTTCTAGAAAAGGAAAAACTAGAAAAAAGTTTGTCGAAGAAAAAAAAAATGTTGATAAAATTTGCTTTTCAGCGTGCTGCGGCCATTGCACCCGTATGTTGTACAAACAAAAATACTAATTGCGAAACTCTTAGAGACAATTGTGTTGTTTTTTGTCGATTTAGGTAGCGTTTAGTATTGCTGATAGTGTTGGTTGTTGTTATTCTTTAGTACGAAGTTGAGAGTTGAGATTCACAAACAAAAACAGCTTAGATGCTCGTAGAGCCAGGCTTAGAATTTTGTTGGAATTTGATTTCTCTCTAACCGCAAAAACAAAACCAAAAAAGATTCTTCTTTCAAATTTAGTTAAAACAACTTTTCTCTTTTGTTTATTTTAATTTTTTTTTCTTTCTTTCTCTTATCATTTCCTGCTGTGCGTGTGCGCTCTTTTCTGCTTCTTCTTCTCACCTCTTTGCTCTTTGAACACCACCATCACCAACCACCGGGCCGACCCGATTCGATTTAACAAAACAAAAAAAACCCACACACACTCAAAATAAATCTTTGACTAAAACACCCAAAAACTCACGATTTACTTCAATGTTCATACTTGAAATATTCTCGCAAAACGACATTCGTTACACCTCGTCATTTTATAAAATTTACAACAAACTACTCGCACGCAACTTTTGGGATTGAACCAAAAACCAAAATCCAAAAAAAAAAAAAACAAATCAAAATCATTTAGTCAGCGCCATCGTATGCCTCATTGACATCCAAACCGACCATTGCACAAGCGTCACAGCAACAAGGCACTGCTGTTACATCGTCCATTTTATCAAATGTAAGCTGTATACAAGTAACACGAGACACCGGAAAGAAACGCGCTGCTGACAGCGATGTACTTCAATCTATGGTATATTTTCTACAAAACGAGAATCGATGCGCGCTGGATCGTATATATATATATATATATATATATATATATATGTCAGGCGCATCGTCACTCTTTTCTTTCATTCTATATTTTAATTTTGTTGTTGTTCATTTTCTTCGTTCTTTTTTTTTAGTTTTAAATTCTAGATTTGGTTTTCACCATGTTTTTTTGTTGTTGTTCCCTTGACATTTGTAACTTCATCGATCCTTGGGTATTATTATTGGGTTGGACGAGAGTGTCGTTTAATGAATAATAAATGGTATTTCATTTTTTGAGTGGTGTGCGGCGAAATGAAATCGAGTTTTCGCTTTGTGAACTGAGCTTTAAAAACACAGTGATTGCGAAGAAAATAAGACTCTGGGAAAAAAAAAGACGAAGTTTGCCCAATGAAAACTTGATATGTGCCCCACACTGTTCCGAAACTTGTGTACCATAAGAACAAATAGCCTCAGTCCAACCAAATATTGTCCTCTATTGCTCTTTTGCTCTCTCTCTCACTCACTTGTCAAATATCTGCCATATCTCTTAGTTTAATGTAACAATCGACAGATTTACTTGCGTTTTATGCTGTTTTCATTGTTGCTGTTGATGTTATTGTGAAACTTGAAACTACAAGTCTTGATTTTGAAATCAACTCAAACGAACAATTTTCCTCGACCACCACCACCACCACCACCACCTCCCTTTTTTCCATCCATTGATCCACCCGTCACCCCATCCCACTGGCTGACCGGGAATTTTCAAACAGCAACTATATCAACAAACATCATCATCCCCTTTCCGGCGAGAACGCATCGGCATCTATTAGCTTGATATGGAATATCTTGCGAAAAGTTTCGCCTTTTTGATCGACACAAATTACCAACTCTTTTCCAAACAGAAAGTTTGACGACGTGTCTTACACAAATAATAAATAACAATGGAACGTGAGGTGGAGTGCGATCGTATTTCAGCAAATTTAATCCCATTTGAACTTTGTGTAACGATGATGTAGTCAGTCAACCGATTCAATCAAACGGAAACACCCAAAGAATTGAAATCTTTGCGAAAAATTATAGTGTAATTTGAATAAATTTCGGGAAACCGATGAAAACCATTCCATTGGAAAAACCCATTCGAAATATGTTGGGAAACTTAGTTTATTAAGTGTTTTCTTTTTCGTTCTCTTTTCGATGCGAAACTGTTAGATACTCTCTATAAGCGAGGGTTTTTTTGGTAACAAACTTTCGAACGGAATCGAATTGTGAAAGGAAACTTGCAAGATATTTTATATCCAGTGATTAGAATCCCTTCACAGCTCTTCCTCAACCGATATTAGGATCAAGCCAAGAACTGTTACATGTTGAGCTTTCCCAGTGTATTTGCTTCTTCTTCTTTTATCTTTAAATTGAAAACTACTCAAATTATTTCCAAACAAAAATGCATACAAAATATTCGTAGAGAAATTCGTTTTCGCGAAAACAAGTAAACCGCGGAGATAAGAATGATGGACCAACTGAGTTGTTTTTAAATAGTTCCAATTTCTGCGCCATTTTTTTGTATAAAATTTTCTTTTCTAATTTTTCATGGAACAAGTGGCAACTTTGTGTAATCATCAATACTGTGCACGAAATCGCTAAATGTTGACATTGCCGTTATCCACTGATGAAAGCTTCCGTGAAACGATAAAACCACCGAATTGAGAATGCATTTCGATCAACAAAATTTTTGCTTTTTTTATTTATGATTTTGCCTGCGAATTCGCTAGACGTGTTTAGCTTTAACAAAACAGCTCCATTTCACGAGACGAGATGTACTGAGGTGAGGTGATGAGTATCTTTTTGTGGCTTTGACAACAATCATAACACCGAAATATGATGAGACAAAAAGCTATGCCAATGAATTTGGTGTTTGCCATTTTTGGAATGTTAGATGAAATTGTTCGGGCAACAGAAGGATAGTCGTTGCCTCGTTGTGCAACAGTGACGTCGTGTTTTTTTTTTGTTTCTTTCCAATGATTAACCAAAGCCAAAAAAAAAATTAACCGTAGACTAGACATGCAAACCTGTACTTCTGTTTAGATTGAACAAGAATATAAACAAACAAACAAATTTCCTTCTTCCCACCACTCAGTACCTATCTGGTTACTAAGACGTTCGTCACTAATACTCACTGTAATTTTGTTGTGTATCTTTTTCACAGATGGATATGAAATCGGTAGGATCATTCTACTATGAAAATTTTGTAAGTGCCAAAACACACACACACACACGCTCGAACTATTCTTTTGCCCAATTGTTGATGGTTTTTGTACGCTTTTGTGACTATTCGACAACGGTGTTGAAACAATGTATCAGATACATGCAAAAACCAGAAAGTTCTGATTTCAGGTCAAAATTTGTTGACCAGAGCAAATACGACGAATGGTGGGCATTGATAAAAAACCATCAACAATTGGGCAATGAATTAAAAGAAACATTTTACACACTAACCAACTAGCGCTGGTACACATTTCCCCCACTCGAATTAACCAATGCCCGTGTCGATACGAACAACAAGTTTCGTTTCGACATTTGTTTTTTACTCAAAACCAAACTGTTCTGAAAACCAAAAAAAAAAACGGAATTCAAGTTTCTGTAGCGAGAAAGAAGTTATGGCTTATTTGATATACCATTTTGCTTTTTGATCACTCAAATTCACTTACATTTTATCAATTTTAACAACAAACAGTTATTTTCATCAAATACAGAGCATTCATTCATTCATAGCTTTTCGTTTGCGTCGCCAGCTTATCCAATTCATTTTTGGCCGAAACACACGCACACTCACAACATCATCACCATGCCAATTTGTTATCATTTATTTTTCGATTTTCAATCGTCACATTTTGTAGTTTTTTTTTAAATAACCGAGAAAAAAAATGAAGAATGATAATTTGAGTTTTGTTCATGTGCTTCAATTGTTGTCTGGCAAATAAATAATGAAAGGTTTTTGTGATCTACTCCTATTGCTTTGGTGTTGAGGGTTTCATTCTTCCAAGATGTAAAACAAAAGACTTGGGTTTTTGGCGCTACACTACTAAAAAAAACACTCACACACAATCATCTGAACCGAAAAAATTTCGCTGAACAGTAAAACAAACAAAAAGAAATGACAAATTCAACGCTTACCTGAAGCCATTTCGAAAAAAAATGAAGAACATACACCGCTGAATTGAATTCATTGAGAGAATTTCTGGTGTGATTGTAAACTAATCGGTATATTTGTGTGTTTATTTTCCTCCCTCTCTATGTGTGTTATTTCACACGTAAATGTGTTTAGGCTTTCCCTGGCATGGGTGTACCCTTTAAGCGGCCAGCTGCCGATAAGTCGGGCATACCAGTCTATCAACCCGGTACAACATACCAGCAACTGATGCAGTTACAGCAACCATTCGTTCCAGTTTCATGTGAGTACCCTAGCCCCAGTCCTACTGCAACTACAACTTCAAATCCACAATCATCTACAGCAAATCCAATAACAACAAACGATAATAATAATACCGTTAGTAATAATATCGATAACTTGATGACAAATAACGAAAATAACAACAACAACAACAACAACAACAACAGCATCAACAACAATAATAATAATACCGAACAGAATAATAACGAAAACAATAACAACAATAATAACAATGACGTGGATGGTAATCACGTGGATAAAGTGGTGGCTGCGGTCAGTGTGCCAGCAACCACGGTTCAAGAATTGTTAACGGCTTCCGTTGTGCCTACATCTGCCGTTGCAATTGCACCGGCCCAATCGCCGGTCAGTCAAGCTAGTGTCGATAGTAAAATCGAAATGATGCAACAACATCAACAGCAGCAGCAGGCAGCTGCTGCTGCTGCTGCTGCTGCCGCTGCCGTGGCCGCCGCTCAGCCCCAAATTTATATGAACAAAACAGCGAGCACTGTGACCAATTCGTTGGCCCATTCAAAGTATAACACAACTTACGTGCCTCATTCACAGTCACAAGCCCATACCGTTGTTAGCACACCACAATATCAGCCATATTCAGCACCGGCCACCCCGCAATTTGTCACCTCATTGTCGAATCCAAGCACTGCCATTTACAATTTAACCTTTTCATCGGCACAATCAGCTGCCGTCGCCGCTGCTGCTGCCGCCAATCAACAGCAAACGTTTTACAACAGTACGAATGGTGTGGCATTGGGTAATACATTGAGTGCCACATCCGTTCAAAATATTTCGGATCCTGCAACATTGGCACGTGAATTGGCACAGAAAAATTATACGAATGCATTAAAATTGGCGGCCGCATCGAATATGTACTCGGGAAAACCGTTGACTGCTTTTAATTATACTGGCATTGCCTTGAACATGAACAATAAAAATCCATTGTTGCCTACGCAAACACCGAAACCGAAAACACCACAACATCAACATCAACATCAACAGCAACAACAGCAACAGCACATTGCCCATTCGCATTTGAATTCGGCGGCACAAATAGCGGCCGCCAATCAAGCGGCTGTGATGGCCCGTCAAATGGGCCAAATGAGCCAAATGGGTCAAATGGTTTCAATTGGCGGCGGTACCGTCAATAATACAGCAAATTCGGTCATTTTTTCACGGCCATCACAAATGTTTGTGTCCAATCCAACGGTTGCGGCTAGTCAATTTTTACGCCATCCAAAACCAGTGGCCAGTGCTACCCATCATTTGAATCATGCAATGCCATTGAATGGCATGTCATTGAATAGTTTGCCATATTTGCCTTTTGCTGCTGGCGCACATCCAATGGCCAATCTTCAGGCTGTCGCACCACATCCACTCAGCGGCCTGGGCTCATTGCAAACATTACCACAAATGACGAATGCACAACAAAGTGCTGCCGCTGCAGCGGTCGTCCTTAATCCATACAAGAAAATGAAAACGTCTTAAATGCCAACGTCGAAGTCGTAGTCGTCATCATTTTGTTATACTTCTTCGAATGCAAAACAGAAAGATAGTAGTCAGTGTGTGCCATCGATCCAATTTTATTCGAAATTTCGATGGCACCGGAAACATAGAACAATGTTTCTCGTCTACTCGATCCATTTAACGCCATTTTTTCTTCGATTTATTTTTTTTCGGTGGATTATCACAAGTGGAACTATTTTGACCTCAACTTTTTTTTTAAAATAAATTAGTCATAAACTAGAAGACTTTTTATGTTTCAATATATTTGTTTCTCCCTTTTTTAATGTATATGTAAAATAGTTCCACCTTGAAGTTTATTATTAGATTTTCCACACAAACACATAAAAAACACATCTAACAGAATTATTATTGCGGCGTCGGCGTCTCGAAACAAAGAAGAAGTTTAATTTCATGCACAAAAACCAATCGTAGCCTTGAAGGCGCCATTTCAAACCACAAATCTAGTTTGATAGTTTTTGATTTCATGTTTTTTATTTGTTTCTCGTATTAGTATTCTGACGTAGGCATTAATTCAACCTTTTTGAACAAAAGTAAGAATTGTGTTTTTTTGTCATCTTCATTTTAAATTTGATAAATAAAACAAAAAATTAATAATAATTAAATGCGTAGCACGCTACACAGGAAACGGGTGACTTATTTTTAATTCTATTTTTACGTCGCACAAATCAAAAAAAAAAAGTTTACAAAAAAATTTACATACAATCAAACTAAATATATAGCGTATTTAAGCTCATTGCGGTAGATTCTATCGTTTCTCTCGGTTTCGGTTCCTCTTCCACACAAACACACACACAGATGGAACCAGAAGCAAAAAGTTGATTTAACGAGACAACCATAGAGAGAGAATTTCTTTTTAACCAATTTTAACCACATTTTTTTCTCACTAGAACATTGAGTAAAAACAACCAATTTTATGGATATTTAATCAAAAATTACAAAATATTAATCGAAACGTGTAATGCATACTAAATTCGTAAGTCATGTACTAGTCATTTCGGGTCGATTTAGTGAGACTTAGTCGATCTGATCAACGAAGAAAACGAAAGGGGGAAAAAATGAGAAACATCAAAGTGAAACTGTTTTGTTATTTAGACCCATTTTGTTTAGTGAAATCTTCTTGTCTTTGTTTTTTTTTTTTGAAATTATTCTACGTGCTTATTAATTTGTGTTCCTTTTTTGTTCGCCGTCGTTCAAATTGGAGATACATGTGAATTACGAATTTCGGTTAAAAACCGAGAAATAAAAGAAAATATACCTCGTTTTTAGTTTGTCATATTAATTTTTAGAGCTTTCTTCGAATGAAGACAGCGTTTCTTGATGATGAAACAACAACAAAAACTGATCAATTTTCATCATTTAGTTAATATGCAATCGTTAGTTAATTTTTTTTTCTTTTTCTATTCATTTTTTTTGCAAATTTTCGTGTCATTATTATTTTAAAATGTATAAAACAAAAACGAAAATTGGAGAGAATTTCGAATTTTCCAAGAAATGGTTAAATTAACTTTGTTTTTTTTTAAAAATGGAATGGATTTGACAACGATGCAAAATGTGTACTGTGATATGTTCCGATGATGTGTGGATGAATCAAGAAAAATCATTCGAAGCAAAACGAATAAATTGATGAGCGTGTCACACATTTGTGGTTTTCAACGGAAACGTCATCTCATCTTCGAAAGGAAGAAACGATGCTTCATCTGTGAAAAGAAGAAAAATAAAAATCGCACGCTTTTTCTGTTCAAATAGCTGTTATAATTTTCTTCGCTTGCAAACGGAAGCTGAGTTGTGCGACAAACAGGCAAGACGATAACAGAATATCGTAAATAATTTTCCAAACAAATAATGTTTACGGAGAAGTAATGTATTTTTGGCGCTGTATTAATATGTATGTCGCTATATGTACAGAGAAAAAAAAACTCGTTGTTGGTCATTGCATTAAGCGAATAAACCCAAAATGCTCGCCATTGCACTTTTTATGTAATTTATAATTGCCATTTGCGCCGGCATATCACGGCCAAACAGCATTTGAAATGTAAACAATGAAGAAAAAACCTCGAACACTTTTCGCTTTGTCTGTTCATGCTATCAGCTATTGTTCGATGCATATTTTATGTTTGCTTCAAACGTATCACACCACAATCACCATCACCTCAACCACCACACCCTATCGACAGAAAAAAAAACTCCTTTGCATCACATTCGCAGTGCGAAACAAAACAAAATTGCTGTCGTTGCTGAATGTGGCGTTCATCTTGCCATGCATACGCTTTTAAAAAAAACACACAAACACACACACATTCAACTGAGAAAAAGCTTTTATCTTGCCGCTTATTCCACTCTATGTCTCTCGACTCACCACTGTTAGTTGTGCTTTAAACGAAACGAAAACGGGCCACTACATGATTGTAAAGAGAAAACCGAACTGAAATGAAAAGAGGCGAAAAATAGCATGAAATCGGCTGCTCATCGCTCACTCAGTGCTCGCTGTAATTCAACGCACGTAATCTAAAACAAACAACAATAAATCGATTAAAAGAAACCCACTAATAACCAATTTTCTAAAAAAAAAAAACAAAATAATCAAAATGTAAACAAAAACGAAGAAAAAAAACAAACGTTAAAAACACCAAAAATCAACACATGGATTTGCTCGAGTCAGGCCTATCAATTTGTCCTTAGTTGGGAATTGCAAATGGATTTTTTTTTTTTGGAAACAGAAAAAAAACAAAAGAATATTAAACGAAGAGGAAAAAACACGATAAAATCGCACTGAAGAAAGAGAAAAAAAAAGATTATTACACAACAAGCAACAAGAACAAAACCATCTCAATCGATATATGATTGAAGAAAATGAAAGAGTGAACAAAAGGAAATCAACAGAGTTATTTTGTTTTTGGTTGAAATCTTGAAATCCTAGAACAAACCGCAATTTTACGCCTATCTATTTCTATTATATATGTATTAATTTTCAACTTGAACAATAACGTAACGGTTTTTTCTCTTTGTTTTTTTTTTATTCCTCTGCTCATAAGTGTGTACTGTATATTTAAAACCAAACCGTTTTTTTTTCTTCAATTTTTTTTGGTTCTTTAACAGTTGTTTTTTGTATTTTTTTCACATTTTTATATATACATATATATCTGTATTTAGCAAGATATTTTGTTGTGTATGTTCCATATATTTACTATATACGGATTATCTATCATTATAGCATTTAAAAAAAACAAATCGAAAAACAAAACAAAAATATACTAGAACTGCAAAACAAAACAAAAAACAAACAAACAAAAAAAATCACAAAATAATCAAGACAATATATATATATGACAAATATCTATCTTTAGCGTGTAACATTTGCCTAACCAGCAGACAACCTCTGTATGAAACCATGTTCTTTTTTTTGTCGTAGTAGCCCATTGAGTATTTTCTTTTCGGTTCTCTCTCTCTCTCTCTCTCTCTCTCTCTCTCTCTCTCTCTCTCAGTATATTATAATATAAATGTCTAACTTTTTGCGCCATTTCTTTCGTTGTTTTTAATTATTTGTAATATTTTTTTTTTAAATACACTCAAACACACACATTTATATAAAGAAACACTTACATAACCCTCCCTCTGCCCCCAATACACACAATATGAAATATTGGTTTGGTTAAAAGTAAAAACTATACTGTTAATAACAACCAGAAAAGCATTTTAGATAGAAAAAATCACTAATTCTAATCACACACACACAACAAATTTTTGGCTGAGATCAACACACAAAACCAATTTATTCTAACCCAATTCATTCAATCAAACTCAAAACTATTTTGTATCTTTTATTTCATTGGTTTTTTCTTATCCCCTGTCCATATTGCTCCATTAAAAACGTAATTTTTTTGGTTCGTCAGTCCAAACCCTAGCCCAAAAAAGAAGATAAATGATGATTAAAAAGCCCGAGACACAAACAGAAAAAATTGCAATTTATGAGAATTGGTGAAATGATGCAAACACTACAAATTACGGAAAAAAAGAGTTCAAGTGACAAATTTGTTTCGAATGAAAAATGAATGGGTCGTTCAAGCACGAGTGCGCGCGCGAACTCTCGCTCATTCACACACGTGGCGCAGCGCACGCCAGCAACGTGTACACCATTAATATGCATGTAATTGAGTAATATTCGAAATTGAATGATAAAATTGAGTTGGAAATCTGCAAATTTAATTATTGAGCCGGGAAAAAAAGAACGGGAGCGTCGTTTCACCCTCGAAACTCAATAGAACAAATCGATATATAATATTTTCGTTGTTTCACAAACAGAGTAATAATGCGTTATTGTTTTTTTTTTGCTCTTCGGTTGTTTTGTCATTTGTCGCACTCGCTCCCCACCTCGCACTCTCTCTCTGATCTTTTTTCCGTTACTCCGTCGATCTGTGTGTTTGAATTTAATGAAGCAAGCAAAGACTAATTCAATTTTTTCTCATTTATGCTCCCCTTCTCTCTTTCTCTCTTTTTGATGTAGTCATTTATGATTTTCACCGTGAAAATTAGGATCGTTGCGAGTTTTGTGATAACATTTAGAAAATTAGATTGATAGCGTTAGCAATTCATTTAGTTGCCGAGATGAGAGTGAACGAATTTCGAATTGAAGGGCATGCGCGCGCGAGAAAAATCAAAATTCCGGCCAGAAAAGAAGAGAAGAGTTAGTCATTTGATTTTAAATTTCTTTAAAAGAACCATTTGAATTCCTTAATGTCACAGACTCAGAATAAAATAGGAGAAAAAGAATTTTTTTTTACACTTCAAAAGGCATCTACTACGTCAATTTCAATTTGAAATTTTCAAACGTGAGAAACCCAGGAAAGTCAATCGCTCCTCATTGTTAGTCCAATCGAACAGGATTTTAATTTTGTTCCGTCATACCATAACCATTTTTTGATGTTTAATTTGCCTTGGTCCATTCAGCTATCGTTTTGTTTTTATTTTTTTTGATGTTTTACATACACATACACACAACACACATACACACCTATGGGAAAAACTACCGAATAATTTTTTTATTTTGTCAAATTGTTGTTGTTTGATCATTCCTTTTAATTTTCCAAATGGTTTTATAATTTTAAGCGTGAAAAAGTTGAGACTGCTTTAAAACAGCCAGCAAATGGATTCGTGCGCAGTCGAATCCGATTTTTTTTTCTAGCTTTTGAACTCTTGATAATAATGTTTTTTTTTCTTTTTCTGTCAGTGTTTTCGTTTTGATTTTTTTTTTCTGCTTCACCGTGTATCTGTCATACATATAAATATTTATAGAACAGCAAAAATTTCTAGCGTTTGCATAGTTTTCGTAAGCCAAATGTTGTTTTTTTTTAATTTCCATTTTTCTCGTTTAATTATCTCAATTGAGCGCGCGCCTGTACTCAATTTGTGTTCGTACATTTTTCGTATGTGTGTGTTTTCATACAAGTCAATATATCCGTGTTGCGGAATGAATCGACTAGACTCGTTCAATAGATATATTTTTGAGAGAAAAAAAGCAAGAATTAAACGAATAAAACATTTCACGCATTTTTTTTTTAATGTAGCCAATCAGTTTTGTTTTTGTAAGTGTGTCAAATTACTTGACAACATTTTTCTTTCTGTTCGTTTTTTTTCTTCATTAATATGTTTCGTTTTTGAATAGAATTTCATTTGTTTGCAACTGAATGTATTTATTTGTTGCTGTAAAGTGTATTCGATAATATGATATATACATTGATATTTAGCGAAAAAAAACATTTTTTAAAACACACACACACAACAAAATGAGATACTTGTGTCTCACTCTCGATTTACCTCTTTGTTCAACATGCACATGTAATTCGATTTTTTTGCGCAATGTCATTTTGCTTACCTTAGGATAAATGTAACAAAAAAAACTTCTTTTTTTATTAGTTGTAAACGAAACAAAAACCATACACACACATCGATCGGCTGTCGTCGATCGCGCCGCGTGGCCTCGCAAACCCCCCCTCATTCATAATTAATGCGAACCACTGTCGCCATCGACGACAATATAGCCAAGACAAATATTAAATATGCTATATTGTAAAACTACAACCACGTTGTTCGTTGGAACTTATTTTAGTAAATCGAAACAAGTCTTTTTTATCATCAGTTTCTAGTTATTTTTAGCGTCATGTTTTTTTCTTTCAAGTACCATTTACATTTTGTTCTTTCTTTTTTTTTTTAAATACGACTTTAAATATTACGAAAAAAAATACAATTACATTTAGTTTACTTACATTGAAAAAACAACAAAAAAAACAAGTAAAAAAATCTATAATTATTTCGCTAGTTAAAAACAAAACCTAAAGTTTTAGTTGTCGTTAGTCGAACATTTTGAATTTAAGTCGATTAAAAGCAAAAAATAAAATAAAAATAAAAATTGTATGTTATGTGGAAAATAAATTGTATTTTTATTTGTGACGTAGAATATTTCGAACATTTTGGTTGTTGCAATGTACTTTTTTTTGATTCGTTGTTGTTGTTGTTGTGTGAATTGATTCGAAATCGAGAACAAACCGCAAGCTATTTGTAATAAAATTCGTTGAACTTTCGGATTTTCTTTAGGCATTTCGATTTGTTTTTTTTTATCATGTTCTTCTTAAATCTCGCTCGTTCCGCCTGTGTGTGTCATTTCCGGTAGAATACAACATATTCTAGTGCATAGTTGGACTTGTTTTATTTTCTCCCCCCATCTCTCTCGCTCTATTTCTCATAAAAATTTATCTCGACATTGTCATAGCAAAAAAAAACAGCAACCAACACACATACACACAACTCGTAATATTCATCGTTGCTCTCTCTCTTTGTCGCTTTGAATGTTTCCGGCTTCGTGAACAGTGTTTCGATGCATGCGATTTTTCTAAACTTGAGTTGTTGTTTTTTTTCTCGATTTTTGTGTTGTTGTTGTTGTCGTTATAATTTTTGTTTTTGCCTTTTTGTTCTTTTTTTCCGTGAGACGCGGTCATCGCTTGAATTTTAGGTCAAGTTTATCTGTCTGCCTGTCATTTATTTCGTTCATCCGGTCACCATCATTCCACCGTACCATCCACCAGTTTTTTTTCTCACCTTTTTGGTTAATTCGATTTTCATTTTTGTGTTGGATAGAAAGCGAAAAAAAACATTGTGTTAGTAAATGTAAACGACAGGAAATAGGAAACAATTTTCGGAATTATGATAGTTATAAGATCAAAAAAAAAAAACGAAACTAAACTACTCCAGGGGGTCCTTCCAAAAAAAAAACACACACACATAAACAAAATTTATTGCGTCAGGCGCAACGAAAATCAAAACTCGGCTACACGATCAACGGCTAAATCGAATATACGATGCACATGTGCTTGTGTGCAAACAATGCCTTTTTACCGGTACCAAATCGGAATTGAAAACTCCAACAAAATCCAAAAACAAGAGGGTAACACACGAAGAACCGCGCAAAATTTATGACAAATTATACAATTTAGAGACGAGAATTTATGTGCAACGGCTACAAAATGGCCGACCAATTTATTTTAATCCCGACAACACCATTCATTATTCAAACGGGTGTGTGTCTTAGTCAGTTTGGTGCATTTTTGACTGGAATAATCGAAGAAAAATTACGTTTTTCTTTCGGTCAGCCTTTCTTTTTTTTACATTAGTGTTAGTGATTAATTGTGTCTTGAAGAAAATGTTCAATTTGTTTTGATTGAAGAAGGAAATTTTGAGCGTTTTTTCTTCTCAAATGAAGAGGGAAATTTGGAATTTTTGCCAAAAGTTAGAATTTTTGTCGAAAGAAGGAAAAAAATCCGATATTTGTTTTTTTTTTCAACAGAAGAAGCTAATTATAACAAGAAGCAAAAAGTTTTTCTGCAAAGCTTAAGTCTCGTCCTAATGAAAATGACGAAATAAGAAAGAAAAATCTTAGGGCAGACCATACTCCGATGAGACTAATCAACAACGAAATTCTTACTAATTGTCGTTTACTATACACCGAATATAATGCATTATTCACTAATATTTCTTTGAAAATATTCAGGTTCTAAGCTAAAAACACATTAATAGAGTTCAATAAAACGCAACTGCATTGAAATGGTTTCGATTTCAGCATACACGTCATTTGGCACGTTATATGTTTTTAGTACCATTTCTATGTTATACTAATTTTCAAATAAAACGTGCATATGTAACAACGAAATAGATATGATAAAATCTATAAAAGCGAAACATCATGTATGTGACTAATGAATAAATAACCCCAATTCAATGCATTGAATTATATATGAAGCGGGATATCGATCAAAAGAATCAATCATGTTCGATGAATCTTTCACATTCGTGTGCTGCTTTTTTCCGTCTCTCTTGTCCTCTTGATTTCAAGGGAGGCAACGTTATACTCCAATATACAGGAGAATCCAATTATATACGAGATGATCAAATGCTTTAATAGAAAGCAGCACAGCAGCAATCAAATGCAATTTCAATTCAAAAGTTCATCGAGCAAATTGATCTAAACACACATTGATTCAAAGGAAAATTTCAATGCAAATAAATGAAATGATTCAAATCAGTTTGATTTTCACTTGAATTGGACATTTGTGAAAGCATCGAATGGATTCACTTCGATTGAATATCCAATTAAAAAAAAAACGATTAAATTAAAATGATACAAAACCAGAGGAAATTAAGGTATTTAATTGCAAAACAAATGTATGTAAAAGTATCAGCATGGTATTTTCTATGCATTTGCCGTTGTAATTTTATTTTTTTATGAAAATATATAGTAGTATACATACAGCCTTCATATATGAAAAATTACTCGAAAAATTTGTTGATAAAAAATGTGTTTTTTTCCCCTTATGACTCCTATGCGGTGTAGTGATAGTATATAATAACAGTTAAATGCATTCTCAAAAGAAGACAGAAAAACAAATTTGAAAAATCAAATCAAAATATTGAAACAAAAGAAGAAATCGAAGATAAACCACATACACATACTCTAAAAGTAATGATTAACACTATTTTTTTTCAAAGTTACTTAAGCGTGCATGATTGAAACAACACACAACAAACACAAACACACTTTAAACTGATAATCGATTTCCAGAACAATGAAACAAAAAAACATGAAACAAAAAAATTGTATTTTATCATTTGTCTACAATATTTGAATATATATATATTAAACATAACATTCATTTATAATAATAATTATTATACATATATTATATACATTTACTACTATAGTAATTTAACGCTTCTATCTTTCATTTAATTTTAATTTTGTGTCAATCGAGTATTTATTCCAAAAAAAGCAACAACAAAAAAACAAACAAAACAAAAATAGTCCGTGGATATATCAAAAGTCGTTGCATTCACATTTGTTTCCGTTTATCTCTTTGATTTGTTTTTTTCATTCTTTTTTGGTAAAGCGTGTTGTTTTTCCTGTAAACATTGCATTTCTTCTTCATTTTTTCTTTGAACCATTTCGTGTAAAAAAAAACTGACTTTTTATGTACAAACAAACAATACCCAATCGAAAGCTATGATTGGGATGGATATGTGCCATGCTTTCATATTTATCATTCACTGGTTATTCGACACTTTTGCTAAAACAAAAACCAAAACATTCTCAACACACACACACACACACACACACATCAATTCATTGTAACAAATGAATCGAACACACATGCATCCATACACATTCTAACCAAACAATGAACCCAAAGCCATTCATCAATGCTAAATTTTGAGTAGGAAAGCAAAGCAAAGGAATGGAATGGCATTTATCGCCATGAAAACCAAGAGAATTCACTGTAATCAGCGCAAGGTGGCTCTGAATCGGTGGGCATCCCATTAGTCAAGAGCTTTTCACACAAACCATCCATTTTACCTTTGTTCTGCCGAAATTTGCCCTTAAGTGGACTCACAAATTTCTTTGTAACTTACCTTGCCTAATCTTTTTTACTATTTCCCTTTGTTTCTTTTCGAGCGATTCAATGTTGCGTGAACGCTTGAATAATTTTCTGCACCCTGTGATTGACATTGATGCAAAGTTTTCCCATTCACAATTTGCATCAATTTCTTGATTCCTTTCTCTCTCTCTCTCTCTCTCTCTCTCTCTCTCTATTCCATATTCTATCTTGAAAATTCATTCCATATTCCGTCTCTCTCGTCCCACTTCGCCCTGAAAAATTGACGAGTCGTCAATCACGACAAAAATCACTGAATTCATTATCGCCAAAATGAGAGCATGAAAATAAGTCACACGGAATCGACAGAAACGGGAACCAAAAAGAGATACAAACTGAAAGAGACAGAGTGAAATCGTCTCAAATCGACAGTTTGACAGCTGTCAATGTTCATTATACTCATTGAGAACACGACCTGAAGAGATCTCTTCTTCTCTCTCTTCAAACAAATTGAGCAAACCGAAGGAAATGAAGCGTCTCATTAAAGTTTCGACTTGATGTGCGATTGGAAGGGAAAAAAAAGCTTGGTGGTTAATTCACTTTTCCATACACACGCAACGGATGATCAATCAACGTATGTCGTTCGCGTTTTGTCCTCAATTTCAAGCCACCAGAACTTCCTCGTACCGAACCGTTTTCAATGGCTAAAAATACACCGTTTTGAAACCCAGATACACAAACATTCACACACACACACACACACACACAAACACAAACCCCAAGAAAAAAATTACCCGCGCGAATACTTGAATGATAAACCCATGATACGAATAAACTTTGCTTGTTTTGTGTCATCTTGTCTGCTTTTTTGCTAATTTACAAAACAATATTCAAAACCGAACGATTTATTTGTGTCATGACAGATGCAAGCGATCGCTTTTGCTTTGTTTCCAAAATTACTTTGTTGAATTATATTAGATATTTTCAAATGGATTTAAAGAGGCGCGCGCGCAGAGTCTGCTGCTGCTCTCTTCCTCTAAGTGTTTTCTTTTTACTTTATGATTGTGAGTTTGAGTAAGAAAAAATCGCTCGAAAAAAAGCATTTTGTTTGTGTGACCGAAATTGATTTTTTTTTTCATTTGGTTTGATGAAAGTGTGCGCACGATGCCTGCCCTGGCGCACTTTCAACTCTGTAGATCGGTCGTATTTAGAATGTGTAAAACAGCCACCGTTTTTCTTTTGTGTTATCGTTTTTCTTATTCGCTTGCTCATTTTCGGAACACTTGCTTTTTGGTAGCGACGCAACACCGACCTACCACAATACAATCGAATCGTTTTTTTCTTTCGTCTCTAAAGCGTTTCCGAAATCAAACCGTTTTCTTTATTAACTTATTGTTTTGGAATCAGACGTGAAATCTAATAAATATTGTTTGTTTGTAGTCTAACACCTTAATGATTTCACAAAATTAACAAATAATAAATTATTTGAACACACCTGAATGCATTTCGAACTGTGAACAGTTCATCATCAGCATCACGACTGTTTGGCAAGTGTCGTTTCAGCACCAATCTGTCATCTCATAGCACGCATAAAAAGTTCATTTTCACTAACGCGAGTTAATAATAAAATTGAAATAGGTGTTTATCACAAATCAACATCAACGAAAAGAGTTAT